TATATATATATATATATATATATATATATATATAAAATATATAATATATATATTTATATGTATATGTATATTGATATATATTGATTGATATATATATGTTGATTGATATATAATATATATGAATAAGCATTTGTTTGCTTTTCATTATAGATTAGAAATGGTGAAACATCTCAATGTTTAGATAGTATGGGACGGAAGGAGCATGATAAAATAGGCATCTTCAAATGTCATGGCCAGGGAGGAAATCAGGTATGTAGCAATTCTTATATTTTTTAACATTATTATTAGTATTATTTCCACACTATATGAATTTGTTTTTTAATAATCTTTTTTATCAATAATAGATCGTCCACACCTTGGCTGTCTAAGTCATACACGAATGTTGTATTTTAAACTTTTTGGTATGAAATATATAAAAAAGAAAAAAAAAACAATGTGTTTTTCGCTCTTATAGTGAACTTCAAGTTGATGAACTTTTTGCAAAGATTTTACTTCCATCTCTCCTGAATTTTCTAGATTTTCTAATAAGGTTTCTTCTACCAAGTCCTTTGAACTACAGTATCACGTGTCTTTCTTTTTATCATTTCTCTTGTACTTCTGAATCTTCTCATAATTTTTCTTTCATCATACCTCTTGTTTTTTCAAATAACTTTTTTTCATATTTTTTTTTCTTATTGTTTTTCCTCCACTATGTCTCTTTACCTTATATAAATTCCTGTATTACAGTTTTTCCTTCTTAAATGATTTTCCTTTCTTCATAAACAGTACCATATTTGTAGGATACTTATTACAGTACTTAGTGTTTCTCAGTGGCCTACTAAATATATGCTTAATAATTCCCTCTCAATTAAGATATTTTGCATCACTAGAAGTGTGATTATCCACTCCCCCCTCCCACAAAGCCACTCACTAGGGGTGAGCATTAATTGGGCCCATGCATCAGTGACTTGTCTTCATCACAGGACATACAAGGGAACAGAAGAAACAAAAACAGGGATGGGGAGAATGTGCTCACTCACCTGTACAGTCAATAACAAATTTGCTTTTTGAACATGAAATTTTTTTTTTATCAGCTTTGTAACACATTTTTTTTCTCACCATAGATATTTGCACTTAGCCATACGAATGAATTGAAACATGATGATTTGTGTATAGACTCATCAAAGGATTCCAATTACAAAGATATTATTCTGTTTAAATGTCATGGTAAACGTGGGAATCAAGAGTGGCTATACAAGGATGATGTAAGTACGGATGGGATGTAACAAAATTATTTTTCATTGCTGGAAATGCAGCACAGCGTAACATCACAGAGTGTAGTACTGCAAGATGTCCAACTCTCTGGGTTTTGTTGGAACGCAATTCCTCTCAAAAAAATAAAACTGTCATGAAGTAAAGGGCGTCCTTCAATGTAAAAGGTGTACATAAAAGGGTGCCCCCATCCTGTGGTAATACTTATTTAGAGTTTCATTGCGTGCATACAAAATCATGGCAGTTGGACCTCTTGCATATTCTTTGGTAACATGCAGGAACAGAAATGTTGCTTGGTGGTTAGGATGCTTGCCTGCCAATCCCACCGTGCTGTGTTCAATTCCTGTCAGTGTTTCAGGATTTTTTTTCTCATGACCAAAACAACTCCACTCTCTAAACCTTGTATTGAGATTTATTTTGTGTAAAGCATCGTGTGTGTATTGTCTTGTGAAAGGTGAAGTCACCCACAAGTAGGACAGTGATATATTCGCTATTGACAATTCTTGGTGCATTTGTTGTGTGCCTAAATAAATAAAATATGTGATATCATAGCTGAAAACGAAAGGTGCAAAGCATGGTCATGGCATTCCCCTAATGAATAGAATAACTGCACTTCCTGAAATACGTCAGTTAAATTTACTTATTTGTTTTTCTTTTTCTAATAAAATAGACTTTTGCCAGGCTTTGGTTTTCAATTCCGTTTTTAGCACATTCTTCAAGTTTGATAAGCTATTAATTACAAGGACGTAGCCAGGATTTTGAAAGGGGGGGGGGGTGAGCCATTATGCGAGGTATGTAGGACCCTGTGGGGGGTCCAGGGGAGAAGCCCCTGGAAAGTAGCCCACTCTGAATGTTTTTAGGGCTGTTCTGAGATGATAAAGTGAAAATTGCAATAAACGCATTATAAATAATATTAG